TTGGGCTTTATTCTTACAGCAGAGAAGTAGTTCATTATGACTGTTTGTGAATTGGGACATTTCAACTTACTTTTTTAATTCCCATTTAAATTTAGTAGGAGTCGGAGTCGGTTAACTTTTTGCCGACTCCGACTCTAGGTACCCAAAATTGTCTCCGACTCCTCGACTCCGACTCAGACTCCGACTCCACAGCCCTGCACAGAAGTGCAATACCATGGACCCATATCAAAAAGCAAGATTTTTTGCTTAGCCGGACAACTTGTCGGATTTAAGGTACCTCAGTTTAAATGGTCTTTATCTTCGTTCGCTTACAATTAGCACAAACTACCGTAAATCTGACAAATAATCCAACTAATCATGAAGTCTAATTCTAGCCGGGTTAATTGCCATTGTTAGCAATATCAGTTGATAACACATTACGTGCGGTGCTTTACATATAAAACTCCGTAGCAACACATCCACAGATAAGTTGGACGGTATAGCGTGTGTGACCGATTTAATGAGCCACAAATGAGAAGTAGTGCTTAAACAGTATAAGACTACAACTTTCCCTTCTGTTGATAAAAGGCGCAGCCATCTTGGATTCTGAACTCGGGATCCTCTGTGCTGCTCCGAGATATTTATCGGATGTCCGAGAAACGGGAGCGCATGTAGTCACTTCCGGCTTCAATACTCCGGAATCCGACTCGGAATACAAGTTCCGAGGGGAAATGGAACGCACTAAAACTACCCGAAATAGGTTGACAGAGACATTTCAGTGATTTCGAATCATTCTGCACTGCAGATGGGTTAATTTCTTTTAAAATTTTAATCAGATTAATCATGATGATGGATTAATCCGCGTTAACCCGTTAATTTTGACAGCCCTTATATATATACACACGTGGACAAAATTGTTGGTACCCTTCGGTCAATGAAAGAAAAGCTCACAATGGTCACAGAAATAACTTTAATCTGACAAAAGTAATAATAAATAAAAATTCTATGAAATTTAACCAATGAAAGTCAGATATTGCTTTTCAACCATGCTTCAACAGAATTATTTAAAAAAATAAACTCATGAAACAGGCCTGGACAAAAATAATGGTACCCCTAGAAAAGACTGAAAATAATGTGACCAAAGGGACATGTTAATTCAAGGTGTGTCCACTAATTAGCATCACAGGTGTCTACAATCTTATCAGTCAGTTGGCCAATATATAGGGCTCCAGGTAGTCACTGTGTTGTTTGGTGGCATGGTGTGTACCACACTCAACATGGACCAGAGGAAGCGAAGGAAAGAGTTGTCTCAGGAGATTAGAAAGAAAATTATAGACAAGCATGTTAAAGGTAAAGGCTATAAGGCCATCTCGAAGCATGTTCCTGTGACTACAGTTGCACATATTATTCAGAAATTTAAAATCCATGGGACTGTAGCCAACCTCCCTGGACATGGCCGCAGGAGGAAAATTGATGACAAATCAAAGAGATGGATAAAACGAATGGTAACAAAAGAGCCCAGAAAAACTTCTGAAGAGAAGAAAAACTTCTGGTGAACTTCAAGCTCAAGGAACATCAGTGTCAGATCGCACCATCCGTCGTTGTTTGAGCCAAAGTGGACTTCATGGGAGACAACCAAGGAGGACACCATTGTTGAAAACAAATCATAAAAAAGCCGAACTGGAATTTGCCAAACTATGTTGACAAGCCACAAAGCTTCTGGGAGAATGTCCTATGGACAGATGAGACAAAAATGGAACTTTTTGCCAAGGCACATCAGCTCTATGTTCACAGACGGAAAAATGAAGCGTATCAAGAAAAGAACACTGTCCCTAGTATGAAACATGGAGGAGGCTCTGTTATGTTCTGGGGCTGCTTTGCTGCATCTGGCACAGGGTGTCTTGAATCTGTGCAGAGTACAATGAAATCTCAAGACTATCAAGGAATTCTAGAGAGAAATGTGCTGGCCAGTGTCAGAAAGCTTGGTCTCAGTTGCAGGTCATGGGTCTTGCAACAGGACAATGACCCAAAACACACAGCTAAAAACACCCTTAAAAACCTGAGGCGCCCTTCAAACCTGAGACAACTGGAGCAGTTTGCTCATGAGGAGTGGGCCAAAATACCTGCTGAGAGGTGCAGAAGTCTCATTGACAGTTACGGGAATCATTTGATTGCAGTGATTGCCTCAAAAGGTTGTGCAACAAAATATTAAGTTAGGGGTACCATCATTTTTGTCCCGGCCTATTCCATGAGTTTATTTTTTTAAATAATTCTGTTGAAGCATGGTTGAAAAGCTATGTCTGACTTTCATTGGTTAAATTTCATAGAATTTTTATTTATTGTTACTTTTGTCAGATTAAAGTTATTTCTGTGACCGTTGTGAGTTTTTCTTTCATTGACCGAAGGGTACCAATAATTTTGTCCACGTGTGTATATATCTGTGTGTCTCAAGTTAAACAAGATGGGATAGGTGAAATAACAATTTCCCCACAGGAATGAGTAAAGTGGGCAGCGCAATGCCTAGCACTGTTGCCTCACACCTCTAGGTGTAAGGATTTGGCATGTTTCTCCCCGTGTCATCATGGGGGTTCTTCCGGGTTCTCTGGGTCTACAGTCCAAAAACTTGCTAAGGTTAATTGATGTTGCCCAACTGCCTGTAGGTGTGGATCTGTGTCTGAATGGTGTGTGCCCTGCGATTGGTTGGTGCCCCATTCTGGTTTATTCTTTGCCATACCCCTCTGGACCCCCATGACCCTGCATCGGCCAAGCGGGTATAGAAAATGGATTGATTAATAAAGTATCCTGTTCACTATGCTATTCTGTAGGTTCAGATGAGGAGCTGGATGAGGAGGGACTAGGGCGGAGAGCGGTCACTGTCCAGGTGAGGTTCAGTCCATCCTCATCACCTAGAAACAAGCTAGATAAATACAAGGTGTCCACGGTGTATTAAAAAGTCTTAAATTTGAGTTGAAGCAATTAAGGCCTTGAAAAGTCTTAAATTTAAGTTTACTAGGTCTTCATTTTTTTGAGGTTATAAACATATTTTAGTCTGATGTTGAAAAATATTTCATATGTTTAAAGGTTGCTCAGAATTTCACTACAGTAAGTCTTTTGGGTAAGAACATCTGACAGCTAGTACTTAGTAATGGACTGCTATTAAGCTTATTATATTAAAATTTGTGTTTTATTTATTTATATGTAACCTATAATCAATATCTTTTGGGCAAAGCCAAGATACAGATGATGCCGTCTGTCTGTTAGTGCACTATCCGAGAATGCATCCAGTTGTGGCCAAAAGTTATGAGAATGACACAAGTATTGTTTTTCACAAAGTTTGCTGCCTCAGTTTTTGTGGCGGCAATTTGCATATACTCCATAATGTTAATAGTGATCAGATGAATTGCAATTAATTGCAAACTCCCTCCTTGCCATGAAAATGAACCAAAAAACTATTTCCACTGCATTTCAGCCCTGCCACAAAAGGACCTGCTGACATCATTTCAGTGATTCTCTCGTTAACATAGGTAAGTGTTGACGAGGGCAAGGCCATCATATAAACTGAGGCAGCAGGCTTTGTGAAAACCAATACTTGTGTCATTCTCAACATTTGGCCACAACTGCAGAACCTCAGACCAAGAATTTTACTAACCCATTTCTGCATGCTTTTAAGTAGTGGTGCACCGATCAAACAACAACAAATTTATTTTTGTATAGCGCGTTTTCACATTACATTGTCTCAAAGCGCTTTACAGCATCCCTGCCCAAAGCCCCCACTGAGTAAGCCAGAGGCGACAGTGGCAAGGAAAAACTCCCTAGAAGCAAGAAACCTTGGGAGGGACCAGACTCAAAGGGGGAGCCCATTCTCCTGGGGCCAGCAGGGAAAGTCAAATCGGCGAGATGGCTAAGTGCCAAGTCGCACTGTCTGAGTCATAAAATTTGAGTCACAACCGGGAAGCAGGGAGGTGATAACAAGCCGGTGCTGGTGCTCCTTTAGAACGCCAGGCAACCAGTAGTATGGCAGCTGGGCATACATGGAGGACGACACAGGCAGAAGGGCGAGCTAGACGGATGGATGTCATGGGAAGTGGGGATGTCGCACGTAGCAGGGTGTGGATATCTTGATAATTTGGGGTCTCCAGGCAGCATACCCCAGGAGAAGGTGGTGGAAATAAATGCAATTAGTCAAAGTAGGGGAGACTATAGGCAGTGCTAACAGGTGAGTGCAATATGTAAGTGCAATGTGTAAGCTCCGGCAGATATGGCAAGTGGGAATGCAGGCATGGGGAGTCCCTGAAATGTCTGCACTCCAATCCCACTAGCAGTTGTAAAGCTAGAGTGACAGCACTGTCAATTCAGTTTATCCAAAGCCAGTGGCACCGATCCCCACCCAGCTCTACACCTCACACTACAGGTCTAACTGGGAGTGAACAATTAGCTTAAGCTAGGACTAGAGTCCCTATAGGCAACTCAATTTTAATGTATATTGTAAATATATAATTTATGTTAAGTTTGTAATTTGACATCAAAGTATAGACATTGCGAAATGCAGTTTGGAACACTTGCAGAAACATTATAAAAGTACATAGTAAGCAATGGTGCCAGTTTGTTTTGATCCCAGATATCTGATCACCAAAGTCTTGGGTACATGAAGATGACTAAATGGTGTAGTTGCAACATTCAGTTGGATAAATAAATAAGAAAAACCTAACCCATTTCACTATTTCTGGCCTCCTTTCATTGAATATGTAGGAGCTCTCATATGTAGTGAAAATGTAGTGATATGTCTTATTTCTTACCTTGTTGGGAAATTTTTAAGGTCCCTACAATGTAAATGTTAGTTTTATTTAAGAAAACAATCTGGGTTTAATTAAAAAGTGTGAGGGTGAGATTGAAAAAGGAATATTGAATGTTAATCTTGCTTCGTGGTATATTCTTTAATTTTGATGATTGCTTTTGGTATTTGTGTGTGTGTGTGTGTGTAACTTCAATAATTAGTGCTAAAATAGCATGGGCTGTATGCAGCTATCAGAACACACGTTAGCTATGTATCTCGTCTTTGGCATTGTCTTTGAAGCTGCAATCCATAGGAATGTGTAAATCAAAATTTTCAAGAATCTGTTAAATTTGCCTCTTAATATGCTTGTAAATTTGGAGAAAAAGACATTAAATGTCTTAAAGCTGAGTCAGTTGTTCCTCTGTTTTGAGAGAAGTTTATTGGTAGGAGGATTTCTCATAATTGAGGCACCCATGCCTTGATCATCACATTGGAAAGTTTTGATTTATTCTTCACACATCAGTTGTTGGACTATTTTTAATACAATGTTGAATGAACAGTGGGTGTAGTCACTTTAGTGTAAATGTATGTGTATTGATTCTGCTAAAACAGGTTTACGCTTAATAGGGCGGCACGGTGGTGCGGTGGTTAGCACTGTTGGTTCACACGTCTGGGACCCAGGTTTGAGTCTCCGCCTGGGTCACATGTGTGCGGAACTTGCATGTTCTCCCCATGTCGTCGTGGGGTTTCCTCCGGGTACTCTGGTTTCCCCCCCCCCACAGTCCAAAGACATGCTGAGGCTAATTGGAGTTACTGAATTGCCCATAGGTGTGCATGCGTGAGTTTGCCCCCCATCCTGGGTTGTTTCCTGCCTCGTGCACGTAGCTTCTGGGATAGGCTCCAGACCCCCCACGACCCAGAAGGATAAGCAGGTTGGAAAATGGATGGATGTTTACGCTTACAGTTTCATCTTGAAGTGGCAATAAAAAGGCCTTAAAGTCTTAAATTTCATATCAAGATTTCTGTAGACACCCTAAAATAAGGGCTCCAGAATGAACATTTTTCACATGGTTTATTTATAAAGACATGGCAAAAGCAAAACTGTATTAAACAGTCGAAATAACACTTCAGTCGGAGGAGCAGCCAGCTCCTTTTGGCTGGCGCCTAGGCCTTGGACAAAAAATATTTGGCTTTAAATATATGGCAACTTGTATCCTGTAATTCTCTTCAGTGAAAGATTTGTCTGTTTAAATGGTTACCGTTGTAAATTTTTCCTTCTGACAAAACCGTCTGCAGAATGAGATTATGATGGCCTTACCTTAAACTTTCCTGTGTGATGTTTAAAATAACTTCAAACTAAAACATAACTGTTATTCATCAGTGCTTCTGAGGAGGCCCCTCTCACTTGGCTGTTAAAAGCGCAGTGAGGCCATACATCAGTCAATCAGTGTTGGTTAACTGCCAGCAGGTGGCATAACAGTTACCTCGCTGGTATTGATATAAACTTAAATAGTGTAAAACTGAGGTACTGCTTTAGGAAGGAGAGTTATGGACAGTCATGTTGTGATATACGATGGATAGAAGGCTGATTTATCTGTGTGGCACACCTGCCATCCCATGCTGTGTTCCTGCTGTGTCCTGTCTTGTCTCTACCTTGTGTGAATATGTCTAGACTTGAGTCCTAGTTCAGCTAAGACACTCATCAGAGATACTCCATACTATGCTTTAGTGGTGTTTGCTGTATTTACCCTTACTCCTTGAGCCCCATGTAGCATTAGCGCCATCTCCCTGTTCTGACAGGAGAAGGAGTTTGTGCGGCAGGGCCGGGAGGCCATGGCGGTGGTGGAGCAGATCCTGATGCAGGAAGAGAACTGGAAGTTTGAGAAGGACAATGTGAGTGCAGAGAGATGAGGGTGGGCCTGTGTGTTTGTATTTTTTTTATCCAAATCAAGTGGTGTATGTGACTTATTCTTAGACACTGTAGAAATTTTAGCTTTCAATAATTCATTTTTTTGGAAACCAAACACTTGTTTTGTGTCTTGTCAGGAGTATGGTGATGCCGTGTACTCCCTGGAGATACCTTTCTATGGGAAGACCTTCATTCTCAAGGTAAACCTTCTGCTACAATGCGGGCAGGAGATGGCAGGTCCATCATGCTTTGAATCCCCTGTGTGACACTATGAAAACTATGTTTTCATCCACTTGGAAACGTGTATATTCTTGCCAACAAAACGAAAATATGTGTCAATAACTTTAGCAAAATAACTTGTGGTCATTGCATTTCTATAAAACTGATTTTTATTGATAGAAACTGCATGCGTAATAACGCAATATCCAGGGAAAACCTGTCACATTAGTTTCACCAAAAAAATATCTCCGGCACATTTCCATCCAGAACTCTAAAGGTACTGACAAAATACGCTGCCCGGCCAAAAAAAACAAAGTCGCTATTTGAATTTTGCGATGGACTGCCTTTAGCTTTGATTATGGCATACATTTGTCATGGCATTGTTTCCACAAGTTTATGCAACATATCTGCATTTTGTTTCTTCCATATTTGCATCCATTTCTCACCGAGGTCTTATATTGACAAAGTGAGTTGAATCACTCCATGAAGTCTTCTTTAGTACATCTCAAAGACTTTCATTGGAGCTAAGGTCAAGACTCTGAAGTGGCCAATTGATCAATTCATGTGTGAAAATCAATCCTCATGCTACTGAACCACTCTTTGACAATTCGAGCCTGACTAATCTTGGTTTTCTCGCCCTGGAATATACCCGTGACATCAGGAAATAAAAAATCCATTCATGATGCATGGAGGGTTAACCTGGCCAGTCAGTATATTCAGGTACTCAGTTGACTTCACTTTATTGCTGCATAACATTGCTGAGCTGTAATAATGATTCAGTCATTGGCTTTTTAAGTATTTGCCAATTAAATTGAAATGGGGACTTTTTTTTGGCCGGGCAGTGTATATACGTTTGACTTCTTTCAGCCCATCCCCAGGTTAATAACATCCGACTTACAGACAACTCATACATACGAACAAACTACGATAAAGGCTGTCATATTAAAACTTAAGGTTACATACAACGGTTCGTAATAACATACACAAATATTACTTTGTGACGCTCGTGAAAACATTGCGCAGCAGCGGCAGTTTATTTACTCGAGGTACAGTACTATATGTAGTTGCTATTATTACCGTATAATTATTATCATGCACTATATTATTTATCTACAAATTCGACTTAAAGACAGACTTAGGCTCTAGTTCGTAACCTGGAGACTGCCTGAACAGGGCAATACAGACAGTCTATGACCTCTCCGACCTATCGGTATTGTACACTGTATGAGAACTTTGGGCATGGAAATGGCAGAGTGGCATATTAGCATCAAGGAATTATGCAGATTAAAGCAAATAAAGTTATGAAGCTGGAGTTTAGACCTTTTAGAGTTTTTCTTTATTCAGAATAAACAAACACGATTACCTATATTTACAGTATGCAAACCTAATTAATGTAGCAATGCAACAATTAGTGCTGATTTCCTCTGTTCTGTTTACTGCACTATACAGTACTATATAAACGTTTATAAACAGGGATGCACATACAAGAGCATAACTTTGGGTTGAACATTTGGGGAGTTGAGGGTATCCCAGGGGTTGTATTGGTTGGTTTTATTGGGGGCGGGGGTTACAACCACTCTAGCCCCCTTATAATTTACACCCATGTACATATAACTGATATGCAAGTTCACATTCACCTTTAAAAGCGAAATGTGGAGCAAGAGATTGTTGTAACATTAACGTATTTTATGTGCATTTGTGCTGCTATGACAAGAAATTGCTGTGTATTTTAACCTTTTATACCGCAAATAATGTACGAATTAGAATATAAAGGTTAAAATGTGCAATAATTTCTTGTTATATCAATAGACATAAAAAAGTATGCATTTGGGCTGATACAACAATTGATTTTCACACGTCCATCCATCCATCCATTTTCTCCCGCTTATCCGAGGTCGGGTCGC